TATTTTATCCTTGAGGTTTGCTTTGTTGACTTGTATTTCATATTTCTTTGCTTTACTCATTGATATTTATGAAAGAAAAAAAAATGTGAGAAATTAAAATTTCTTTTTCTTTAAATAAAACATAAAGTCTTTCAGACTAATTACGAGATAAATGATTTGTATGATCATCGATTGTATGAGAATAAATCGAAATTTTATTTTATTTTTTAATATTTCTCATTTCTATTAGAATTTTAATTGCATTTCAATGATCTTTAATATCTTGATGATTTATAATAAAACTATATTATGAACCATTAAATTTTCATTCATCTGTTGCATGTGTTTCTTTTATATTTTAAGAGTGTGGGTGTCTCTCTTTTATGGTTTCATTCATATCCACACTCACATTCTTATTAATAGCTAAAATATAACAATACAAACAGAAATGTTATCTAGATTTTCATTTCGCGAATGTATGACCTTAAACAGCCGATCTGTATATACAAAATCACTTGATGAAAAACGAACACTAGTAAAATACAGATTTTGAATGTCTTATAAAAATTTAGGATCATTGTTTTTTTGTGAAATAGTTTAATTTAAAAATGTGAGAAAGTTTATTTGAAACTGGTTATTCTTGTTTAATTATATAAATCGTCGTCATCATTATTTTGGCGACGATGTCCACCTCATGATGGTTGTTGTAATGTTTGAGCAAATATTTCATATTTACAGAGATCGTTATCGCTAACTGATCGTCGAGCAAATTTCATAGCGTCTTCAAAATGATCATGACGAATTTCTGGCACTAGAACGGGTCGATTAGAATACATTACTCTTTGTCCACGTTGTACTCGTTCTTTTTCAATTGATTCTCTAATTGCTAATTTACAAGCACGTTGACAAATTCCTGCTAAATCAGCACCACTAAAAACTTGTGTTGTCTTAGCTAGGGGTAGGACAGTTCCATATTAGTTCCGTTCTTGGGAACTGTTTAATAGTTCTTTTGAAAGGAACTGAACTATATCAACAGCTCTTCGAATAGAACTGACCCCACCAAACAGTTCTTTGAATAGAACTGAACCGTTTGGTAGAGTTCAATGGGTGTGGGCGTAGGTTTGGGTGTCGTTATTCTCTTCACTCACACCCACCCAACCTGGGCTAACCGACTTCAAAAATATTCAAATAAGATTCTAAGATATCCTACGTTTTGAAAAAATCATAATATTCATTCAATGAATTATCAAAATATAAAACTCCAAAAATAGTTGATGATAAAGAAGACGATTTTGCACTAGATACTGATGAAGAAT